CTTTTAGCCCAAACACTTCATGATTTGAGAGGAAGGAAAAGCATAATGACTGCTCTAACAGACTAGTAAAATAAAATGCTAGAAGACAGATGAGGAAGAGATTAATTTAGATTATGGTCATGGGCAGGAGAGGGGCACTGGTTTCCTGCAGGTTACAGTGATCTTATAGCTGGAGTTTAAAAAATGTGTAAAAGTAAAATAAAGACATAGAGAAAGGTGCAAAAACGAAGTAGTGTAAGGAGGATCCATGAACAAAGGATTTCTGGGTCAATTTAGGAAACAGCAAGTAACTATTTAATTAAAAAAATACTTCCTGGTTATTTACTGTTGAGAAGTCCTGTATTGGGCATGGTATATGCAGAGTCAGTTTGAATGAGACTAAATTCTTATCTACCCTAGCCCCCAATTACAGGACTTGAGAGAAGGCCAATGAGCTCTGGGTTGACGAGAAGCCAAATTATGTTGACTGCTGCACAGTAGGTACCCTGTTTGACCAAGGAATAGACATTCATGAACAAACATGATACATACCAATTAAAAACTGTACTCATGGTGCACACCCAACCCTGGCCAGGGACTAGGGCAGGATGAGCATCCTGGGGGTGAGTTTGGGAGCATGACATGGAAGTGGGGAAAGTACCATACATCCGCAGTAGAACTAATATGAAGGGAAACACAGAGCAAAGTGAAAGCTTAACACCTTAGGAGAATGGAGAATCCCACCAGCAGAGATGGTACCCATGCTCTGAAGCTGTTGTTGGAAGACACAGAACAGAACAAGGGGAAGAGCACTGGCCTGCGAGTCAAGAGAGCCGGAATGGAGCTCAGGCTTAGTCCTACAGTTCTTGTTGGGCACTAAGCAAAGCTAGGGATTTTCCCTATGCCAGGTATCTACCACATACTTCACCTCACTGAATCAGTGTACTCGTTGTGTAGGAATTATACTGTTCCTATTTTAGAGATGAGGAAACTGAGGTTAAGATACCCACCCAAGGTTACACAGAAAATAGGTGACAGCCAGAATTCCATCTCGGATCTTTCTCTAAAGCCCTCATTCTTCACGTGCATGCTGCCTGGATATTAGGAAGTAAATAAAACTCACTATGGGCTCACCCAGCCTTGTGCACGAATTCAAAAAGTGTGATGTTCCTGAACCTTCCCCTCCACCATCTCTAGAAGGCTATGTGAAGTAGGTTAATAAGATTCATACTGATATTATGAGACCCAACAAGATCTCAGAGTGGAGAGATTATTCTTTTGGTAAGGAAAAAAATAAATCCCTTTCCTAAGAAATTTAAAATTTAAAATACAAACATAAACAACTATGGAAATCAGGCTGAAAGTGCAAATTGATATGTCTTTTGCATTGCTTGATTTGGAGGCAGATGAAACCATGAAACCCAATGCAATGAGCAGGGAACAACATGAAAGAGTCATGTGCGAGTCAAAAACAATGGGTTTGTCACCTGTCAGCAACAGTTACCTATTGAACCAACTGTGACCTCCATTCTACAACCCTGTCTCAGTACTTGGGCTTTAACCGTTCCCTGCTCCAAACACAGAAAGCACCAGTCACATCTCCCCTACCCCTGGTTTCATCCTTTCTAGCATCACTCAGCACAAGTAGGCTAGATAGCAATCCTCCTACAATACAGAGAAGAACCACACCTTATGTCTATGTAACTGGCACAATACGCAAAAGGACTTTCACATATGTTGCTCCATGTTTCATCCTGCCAACAGTCTTGTGGGTTAGAAAGTCACATATTGCTCTCACGTGTTAGGTATTCAAGAGATACAACCAGGGAATAAGGAAGAAAATTATATAGCTAGATTTCAAACCTATATTCCTGCTGTTAATCTTGAACTCAGATCATCCAATATCATGACAAGAGACACATATAACCCTGCCCCAAGTCTGACTCCCTGTTCCTCCTTCCTTCCACTCCAGTTCAACAGGGAAATCTCCTCTGAGCACATGCTCTGAAATCAACGGTCTCTTGTGCTTCCTCAGGAAAGAGAAGTGTATGCTTATTTGAAATCAGATTGTCCCAGGTGAGGGTTAAGGGTGTACCTGCATGAGCATGGAGCACACCTGCTTACCTGGCAGTCAGTATTCCACACCTGGCTTCCTGGGAACTCTTAGTCTCCACAAACAGCTTTCTCTGATTCTGCCAGACTCACAGCTCGTTCACTAATTAAAGGGTATTACGCACTTCATTGCACACCAGCTAAGAACTTGGAATAAGGAAGCGTATGCTAACGCATTAGTCCTGGAGATGCCACTCGGTATGCTTTAGAGAAAAAGAAATAGAGAAAAAAGCCATCCACCTGTGACATTCCCTCCCCCATACTTAACTTCTCTAATAAGTCAGCCACAGCACTCAGAAAGAAGGCACCCAGCATAGTACAACCCTAGGCAGAGCCACGTAAATAAACCAACGGGAGAAGGATGTGCAGCAGAGAGAATGAATGAGGCAGAAAGCTGGCGAGCTGGTTTCTCTGACAACCACCTGCTCAGGCCCTCAGCTCTCTGCTGGTATGGGAGCTCCTGAATAAGCATGCCTACACCTTGGGCCAAAGGGACAGGGAGACAAAGGGTGATCAGGGTTCTGCTCCTCACTGCTAGATCCTGAGCAACCTTAGTGTCATGCCCCTCTGGGCTCTGCGTGACTGCCCACTGTGACCAATGAATGAAGACCAGCCTCCCCCAGGGCCCCTTCTAGCTTTTCTGCAGTGAGTGTCCTTTATTATACTCTCTGGACAGCTTAAAGAGCATCCCTAAGGCTCACCTCTTTTCAGTGCTGAAGAACTTCATACACAGAGTGTCAGTGCAAGGATCAACACTCAAACAGATTAATCTTGTACTTAGAGAGGATGGCAGGTAATGACATGCCACCAACTGAGACATAAACCTTATCCACAGGCAACTTCATTCTTTGGGAGGAATCCTGGAGAGGTCAAAAAGCACAGGTCAAAGCTCGAAGGCCTGACCTTTGACCCTCAGGATCCCAACAACTCAAACAATGGGCCAAATGCAAAAGAACAGCCCAGGAGCAAAACACCCTTACTTGTACTAAACAGAATTTGGAATGAATTCAGAGGAATCCATCAGACATGTGGTCGTGAGGCTGCTTGAGAACTCAGTCTGGGGTCTGCTCCCCCTTGCGGTTTCTCTCTGTGCCACCCTCTCTCTGTGTCCAAATGTTCCTGCAGACAGGGGAACCACTGAGTGCAATTCTGAGCTGCATGGTGCAGTGGTGAAGCAGATGCTGCCAGGCACCAGAAAGCATGGGGTGGAACACAGTGATAGTTTCAGCTTCCAAGATGAAGGATGTTCCCCATCTCTCCCAAGCCACCCAAGACATCATTAGTACATGACACTGCTTGCTCCATCTAGAAGAGCTTCCAATCCTCTGGGTCCCTTCCCCCAGCTCAGCTTGCTTCCTCTTCAGCATCCGCTACTGCTGCTTTTGCTGTGCTCTTCCTCCCCATGTTTAAAAGGGATGATACAAAACGGCTCCCCCAGGACACAGAGCTCTAGCACATAGGCTGCGAGAGGCAATGCCCCTAGCACTTGGGGCTTCTCCAGAATCAGGGACAGTCAACAGCAAGCACAGAGGCTGTGGACAGAGACTGGTTGTAGCATTACAAGAACCTCAGAGCGAGAGGTTGGTGAATCTGAGAGGGGGTGGGGAACTGATGCACCACGGGAAAGGTAGGGAATGTCTTAATTAGGCAGAGGACCCCAGACAGGTGCTACTGATGACGCAATCAAGTCCCTCTGCAACGGCTGCACCTGCCATCCAGAACTTGCAATTGCCTCTTGGCTCAAGGCTCTGAGACTCAAAAGCTCTCGCTTTTCCTTAGGCATTCGTGGGGCAAGTAGCCACACTGGACTTCCAGAGGGTCCCACAGCCCCTGACGCCCCAGACGTGCCTGGCAGCAAGGAGTCAGCAGCTGCTGTCTGACCTGTTATGCCAAGTTATGCCCAGCAGCCCACTAATTGGGCAGAGAACCCTGGCAGCAGCAGCTCTCCTCCCATCTTTCCCTCTCTGCCCCCTCCAGTGAGCCCATCCTGAGCGTAAGCCACATCCCCTCGGCTTTCCTCTTTACTCAGCAACACACTCCCCCTCCAAGCTTTCCAATCCCACAGCTGCTCGCCCCCTCCCCACACCCCTCCTCCCGCATCCACACGCGTTGTGAAGCAACTGTACATAGAGAAAGCCCAGCCTGTGAGTTTCAAGCTAAAGCTCCGAGCCAAGGCTGCTGGAATACTTCACCCTCACAAGCATCTCGCTGACCACCCTGCATGGGTGTCTCTGCCCAGACCCTCCTCTCTGCCCAAGCACTCTGGACAGCTCTCTGCTTCAACCTGCCAGGAGACCAGATGGAGCCCAGGGATCCCCGGCCTCCTCCTCCTGCCACATGGAGCTCGGCATCCACACAAGAAAAGGAAGCAGAAAGACTTCCACCCCTTTGCAGCATCAGCTGCTCCGGCGAGCTCCCAAAGCCACTGGAGCCATCCAGGCTGCCTGGGGCCCACACCCCCTTCTCTCACAGCTTCAGCTCCAGCCAGGACCACAGGATGCAGTGCCTGATGACACTTCCGAGCAGAGAGAGAAAAAGGCAGAGAGAGAGAGGATGCCACCTCGTCAATGACAAGCTGTTCCAATCACACAGCTCGGATACCAAGCACCCGGATGACAGACAAGTCAGGCCTCCTCTTCCCTCAGCACGTGTGTGGGGCAGTGTCCCACCGAGAGCAAGCTCCTGTGACCCCGCTCACATGGAAAACCAACCACAGAACTCCGGCCCGGCAAGTCATTTCTCTACCACCAGCTCCAACGACTCCAGCCAACGACCCTCGTGGCCTGCCTTGAGGCTCCACTCCCTCTCCTGCTCAAAGCACAGAGACACCTCCAACCATGCAGGAGACGGCTGGCGCGCCACTTTCCAGGAGGACCAAAGAGAGAGCAAACTGAAAACCGAGTACTCACGGTGGTGAAGTCTTGGTGGCCACACTCCTGCCCTTTGAACTTGCAGTAGAGCATCATATCCTTCAGGTCGTGGCCCACGCGGTGCAAGAACTCCAGCATGCTGAACTGCTTGGGTTTGTAGTGCCTGAAGTCAGCTTTCTGCCGCAGGGCCTCCAGCACCGTGGGGTCGGCCAGATGCGGGTCCGGGATCTGCAGGTTGACATCCAGCAGGGCCAGCAGCTCCCCGGCATGGTACAGGTCGTTGGTGGTGAGCCTGGAGAACCGGAAGCCATTCAGGTTGCAGAGGGTGACGGCCGGGAAGACCAGGCTCTGGGCCACCACCTCGTCCACCTTGGTGACGTGCTGGTAGGAGAAGTAGTAGGACACCCTCTCGGAGCTCTCCACCAGCAGCAGGCCCAGGGAGCCCACGAAGGCCACAGCCCAAAGCACGCGCCGGATGGTCAGCGGCCCATATACGAAGATGTGGCGGATGCCGTGCAGGGTGGATGTGTTGGCGAAGATCTGGATGCTAGAAGGCTGCAGGCTGCCCTCGCTGGGGCTCTCCTTGAGGTCCATCGGGACCCTGTGCAGTTCCGCAACTGGCTTCAGGTTGACGAGATTTCAGGGCAGAGTTGCCAGTCCACGCGCTGTGCTTTTACACCCTGGCGATCCAGGGGGAGAGCAACCAGGCAAGCATCAGGCCAGACGCTGTGAGTTTCTGCTGAGAGCCCAGCCGCACGCTGACAGGGGTGAGTGTTTATATAAAACCCATTCAAACTCTAGCTCCTGATTTTTTCCAGGCGATAAGGAGGGCTGGTTTTATTTAGGGAGACACCAAGGTGATGTGGAAGGGATGTGGGTGGGAAGGGAGCGCTTAGCCAATGGAAATAAAGTCCTCCCCCCTACACACGCCACTAGAGACAAGATTAAAAGCGAGAGCGAGGGAGAAGATGCTTAAAACAAGTCGCCGAGCAGCTCGGAGCCTGTTCGCCGGTGCATCAAGCCCCGTGTTAGCCGCCCTGAGGGACGGCAGGGCCGCCGCGCTGATGCACTGCGGAGGGGCCGGCGGCTCAGCCTCCCGAGCCGCCGCCGCCGCTCCCTCGCTCCCCGCGACGCTCGCACTCCGGATGCCGTTCCTCGCCGCCGGCCTCCGTCCCTCCTCTCCGCCGCCGCCTCCGGGCAGAATTCCAAAAGCCGGCGGCCGCGGCTAGCGCCTCGGCGCCCAGGCAGCGCGCCGCCCCCGCCAGGCCGGGGCCGGGACGCGGGGGACGCGCGCGCGCGCGCGCTCGCGACAGGGCGCCGACCCGGGCTCGACCCTCGGCGTCTCGGGAGAGAACGGGGGCGACCTCTGAGGGGCGCGAAGCCGGCCGTGCCGCCCTCCCCCGCCCCGCGCCCGCTTGCTGTCGGGGAGGGCACCGGGGCGGGGGCGAGCGGGAGAGGGCGGGCTGGTGGGGGCTGGGTACCCGGAGAAAGTTTCTTTGTGGCCTTTTTTTTTTTTTTTCTTTAGAGACCTGGTGGGGGCGCCTCGGTCAAGGTGGAACCCCGGCCCCCACGCGCGGCAGGAAGGGGTTGACACACGCTTGGGAACTGGGTCTTGGGGGCGGGGGCGGCGTTTCTTGGCACCAACGTGGGCTTCCGGGTCAGAGCCGGCCCGGGGTCAGCGGAGGAGCGAGTCCAGCTGAGAGGGAAGGACTGGCATGCCTAGAAACCCCCGAACCTGGACCTCCGGCTCGGAGCAGCCCCTCCGCTGATAGAAAGGCCAGGTTGCCCCTTGGAGCGCCAGAAAGAGCAACAAGTAGCACCCGCCCTCACAGAGCTGTCAGAGGGTGTTGGAAGAGAGAGGCCGCGGGGGTCCCAGGTAGGGCTGGCTGCGCGTGCGCGTGTGTATGCGCGCGCTTGTGTGTGCATGGGCGCCTGTGTGAAGTGTGTATTGGGCCCCAGGATTTGCCAGATACAAGCACAGCTGAAGCTATAGGTGGGAGCAAAGAATTGGATTTGGAGTCGCCTACCTCTGTTTTTTTTTGTTTGTTTGTTTTTTGTTTTTTGTTTTGTTTTTTCCCTGCAAATCCACTGGAAATCAGCCCTTTCTTGCAGGTGGGTGTGGCCCGTCTGCTTGGCCCACGCCGGGGATCCCGGAGCTGGAACCCGCTGCAACAGTGGTGCTAAATCCCCATCAGGAAGAAGGAAGCAAAGTTCGAGTGGCCAACCCCAGACACTCTGCCAAGCTGGGGCCGAGGCATGCCAAGGTGCCTGGTGCCAGCCTGGTGTCTTCAGGGCCCACGGGGTTTAAACAGTGTTCCTTGGAAAATGATGGAGGAGGCAGCTAAGAGCGTGTCCCTCTTGGTTTATGTTTACTTGAATATTTGTTTCTGTCCATCTGACCTTCTGCTAGTCGAGATCTTTGAAGAACAGCATCCAGAGGCACGCTGGGAGCAACTCACGGCGTTTAATGGGTGGTGCATTGATCCTGGGAGCTCAAATAGCAGAACAGCCACAGATGCAAATAGCATGAACCACCCAGTGTGCTGGCCAACGCGCAGGCCCAGACCCCTGCCTGCAGGACTACCTAGATGGAGCACAGGTTCTTCAAGCAAGAGAGTATAAACTAGCCAGGGATCTGTGAAGTGTCACGATATGGGTGAGGGTGTCATATCGCCTCACCCACCCCTCTCAGCTATCCTGGCAGGTATCTGTTATTGTTGTCACCCCCATTACACAGATGCGGAAGCTGAGGCCCACCAAAGTAAGCTGTTCAGTACGTGTAATGCAGCTAGTGGTGCCAAAGCTGGGAGCCAAACTCGGGCATATTTGTCTCCAAAAGACAGTTTCAAAAAGCAAATCCAAAATGCTGCATCCCAAATTTAGGAAGGGAGCAAGCGTTCCTACCCCTATCTCCCACTTACACACACACACACACCCAGTTTCTTGTGCGTACAAAGCAGCTCCATACTTTTTCTCCACCAAGCCATACCTCTGTTGACCATCCCAGGCACCCCCTCGTACAGGAAGACTTCCTGATTTATCTCACTAATCTTTGGCTTATCAGCCAGTTTCACAAATGTGTTGGCCTCTAACTCTGTACTAGGCACTATATTGGGGAAACCAAGATGAATGAAGGACATGTCCTGCCTTTGATAACCTAGCTGTGGGGGGAGAGGGTAGAGAGAGGCAGATACACGCTGGTCCCTGCACCACAGGGACAGTGTGAGGAGCAGCGTGGCTCGTGGGTGCCTGTTACAGGCAGTGCCCACTTGGAAATGAGATTGTTCTATCCCAGCTAGGTCCCTCCCACCTCCAGCCCTGTGTTCCTCCCTCCTCCCTGCCAGCTCAAATCTGTTTGTCCCCAGGAAGCCTCTGCTTTTCACAGAATCACATTGTCCTATTTCAGTCCCAGACATGCTTTCTCACGTGTGCAGAGATGGAGCTCCAAGTTGTTGTGGTGCCCCCTCCTGCACTTAAACTGCTTACTGCTTGCCCACCTGCCCACGGGTTTGTTTTGAGAGTTACAAACTCCACATGAGAGCATGATGCAGCACCCGGGTCACCCAGACCTGAAGTGGCATCTCCAGCCTCCCACTGCTCTGTGACCTCAGGAGAAGTTACTAAACATCTCTGAACACCACCTTCCCCACTCCAAAATGGCAAGGCTTCGAGCTGTTGTGCAAAAGACGTGAGATACAGGTTAGGAAGCATCTTGCCACATTAGATGCTTAGCAATTGACACTTCCTGCTCCTGACAACTCAGAGAACGTTCTTTCCCTTTCAGATGCTGGTGTTTTCTTCCAGGTGATTGGGGAGCCATTTCACACCCTGGAACCTGGCGTTTGCCCAGAGCACTGTGTGCCTGAGAACACTTCCCCACTCTGCTCCCCATTCCTAGCCCTAAGGTCCCTTCAAGCTCTTCTGAAGTGGCTCTTGGCGACAGTGCCTTCCCAGGTGGGATGGGCTCTGCAGGGTGAGGTGGAGGAACCAGACCAGAGCAGCCCTAATGACTGGGTGCTTGCTTGGCTTTGTGCCTGACATTTGACAGATCATTATCAGTAACCCTGAGAGCAGCCCATTTTACAGATGAGATAGCTGAGTCCGGAGAGCAGCGTCACCTTGACCAAGGTTGCACAGCTAAAATGTGGCAGGGCTGAGAATCAAACCCAGGCGTGTGTGAGTCTGGAAATTGTGGTCTACAACCATTGCTTCCACACGACTTGAATCACACAGATCGTCTCGAACATCTGAGTCACAGAATACTCACCAAGAGATACTGTAGTGCCATTTTGTAGCTTGCACAGCCATTCGTACTGATGGCTAATAAAATGATCCCACGGAGCTCTTCTTAAGGACCCGCTCTAACTGATGACTCATTTGCAATTAGCAGCATGGCTTACATACAACCAGCAGACACTACCCGATCTTTAAGAAAGCTCTGTGCTACTTGGTGGATTAAACAATTGCCTTCCTCCATCACATTTACAAGACTGCCTTGCTTAGCTGTGCGAGGGTGTGCAGAGGGCACAGGGATTGCCTTTACAGCGGGTCTATTTGGCCCAGATTTTTAGGCACTGTCCTAATTGTGCATAATTATGGTTCTTTCAGTGAACTTTCCAGATAAATTTATTTACAAATTAGACAGTTTAACCCCCCATTAGCCCATGGGTCCTGATTCCTGTTGGGGCAAATATATTCACTTTTGAATGAATAAAGGGACAGGGGGGTGAAGTTGCTTGCTAGGACGCTGAGGCTGCTCCTGCAGTATGCCGGGAGGGGACCTGAGGCCTTCCCTGAGCCCTTACTTGGGGAAGCTCAAGGGCACAGAGAGCAGCTTCCTGCCTCTGTGAAGAGTGACAGGCAGGAGAGGAAGGAAGCTGACATCCACAATCAGCTCCAATGCTAATTTGCTACTTACCATGTGCTAGCTGCTTTCCGTGGCCACCACCACCCCCTAATTGGGGGAGGGGAGAACATTCCTTTCTAATATACAGATGGTGTTCTTATTTGAGATTAAGAGTGGCCTGGGCACACAACTTTCCCTCCTGGTCTTAGGCCCTTCATTGTCATAAAAAAGGGCTGAAGATAACTGATAGAAACCCTGAGTGTTTCCCTGCTGTTGATTGGTTTATCCTCAAGCATCCCCAAACAACAACCTTTCCCTTGTAGTTACCTCAGTGAGCATTGAGCAACTAATCTGTCAAGAAGTGTGTACCAGGAACAGCATGAGACAAGACCAGGCACTGAATGGGCACTTTACAAAGATTTCACGTAGCCTTGTTTTGTCATTTCAGGTGAAAACTGCAGAAGCCATGCCCCACACAGAGTGAGTGACCTTTGTGGCTGCATGGTCAATTGGTCAGACCCTGGAATGGATGGAAACTTGCTGTGTGGCCTTCTGGAAAGCAGGTGATATCTCTGGGCTGTTTCCTCATTTTTGCTAAATCATTGTGAGGCCTCCTGCTGCTGCCGCCATTTGACAGGAGCTTGACCACATCGTAAATGCCAGTTAATGGGATAAAAATGAGTTAGAACCTGGGATTCTGGTCATTAACCCCATGTCACCATCTGCTGGAGCAGTAGGATGGCAGGGCCAGGTGCACTCAAATCACCCAACACTGGTGAAACATGCACTTTGCTGCTCTGTCCCCCTCCCACTCGGATCCCTGGGGCTGGGGCCTGGGGAGGCTCCCTCCCATCGTGAGGCTGCGGGGTGCAGTACAACAACCCCACTCAGGACGGATGTGCTCACCTGACTTCGAGCCCTTCCCGTCCAGCAGGCCTGCCGAGCTGCAGAGCTGGCTCGTGCAGTTCCACACTCTTCCCTCTGCAGGCAGAATTCCCCTGCAGCTGGCTTCAGGGATGCAGCCTTCCCAGAGAGGCCCTGGCTGGCCTCCCCATCTCCCTCTGCACCCCACTCTACACCCCGTCACAGGCCTCCTTTTCTTCTCTTATGCAATGTGTAAAGGATTTGTTGCACCTCCGGGAACAGAAGCCTCTCCCCATCCTTATGCCAAAGGACAGAAACCCTGTCTGGTATGCTGGAGGCTGCCTTCTCAGCAGGAGGCCTGCAGGAGATGCTCAGTAGTAGAATTCACCAGTACATGGAGCATGGATGCTTTCACTCTCTGCTGTGGTTGAGCCTACTTCTCCCGGATGCAAGAGTGGGAACCCTGCTCTAACCCAACTCCTGAGGAAGGTGAGAGGCACCTCCTGCCTCTCCATCCTGTCCTTTGTTCCCCCCAGCTCCTGGCAAATTCTCACTGGGGCCAGGGCTGGGTGCATCAGGGAATCTGTGGGCCCAGACACGCTCAGCTGAGAGTTCGTGACTGGAAAATCCTGATGTAGGAATTGTGTGCCCCGTAGCTTCACAAAACTGTGGGTCAGATGAAAGCTGAGATTAGACATGAACTGAATGTGGCCCACCTACCCTAACAGAGTTCCTGCATCTTCTCTCCTCTGACTTTGAACAGACAGTTGATCTTGGCACTTCCCCTACCAGCTTCTCTCCACTTTCTTAATCCGATAGGTTAATGATGTCATAGAGAAATGACTTAAACAGGACGTGCTTAAAAATGATTGCTGGTGTGAAATAAAGAATACAGTTTATAAGAGGAACTACAAAGTGTTTCTTACCTTCAATCTGTGTTGTGATAACCAAAAATTAGTATATGAGTCCTCTCCCTTTACTATGGAACTAGTGGCTTTTAACTTTTCCCTTGTTTGCTTTTATAAATGTATTTTTGTTTATTTATTTGAGAGGCAGAGATAAAGAGAAAGCTCCCATCTGCTAGTTCATTCCCCAAATGTCAACTGTGGCCAGGTCTGCATTAGCAGGAAGCTGGAATTAGGAGCTGGAGCCAGGAATTGAATCTAACCCAAGCTAAAAGGGTACTCCAGCCCCTCTGCCTGAATGAGAGCCCTGTACCCATGGTCCCTAGTTAAGGAAGGACTGATTCCCTCCCCACTAGGCAATAGGGATTCTCCAGACCATGCCTGATCACACTCATTTTTATCCTGAAGGGTCTTTAAGCCTCTACCTCTGCTTAAAGACACAAACATCTTCTGTTACAGAGACCAAGCAGGTCTGGTTCAAATCCCTCCTGTGGATGAAAGACAGCCCAGGACCTGGAGACCCTGATTTCTGATTTTACTTCCTGTCACTTCCCGTCCTCAAGGGTGTGACCATTCACCGGCCACCTCCCCCTTTCCCATCCAGCCTCTGTGGATTTTTTTTTTCTCAAAAATGTCTTTATTTCCTGTGCTTTGCCTATAGGTGTCTGCCTCCCTTAGTCTGCCTCTGCCCTCACTCCCCTGCAAGGAAATAAAGAAAGATGCCACCACTGTTTGTTTTCTTTCTGTCACTCAATTCCAGGAGCCAATTGCATCACAAAGAAGAGGAAATGCACCCCAAGAGGTCCTCAAGTCTACCAGGCACAGACAGCTTTCAACAAAAACTTTATCAGCGCGGCCTTGGCCATGGTAGCCTGCAGTCTGCAAAGGAGCCAGGAGCGGGAGCGGTGCTGAGCACCACCCTGCCTGGCTTCTGGTGGAACTCCCTCTCCCCCTTGTGTTCTGCATGGGTGCTTACAACAGCTACTGGTCTTGCTAACCAGTCCTCAGCACACCTTGCTTATTTAAAAAAAATTTCATTTAAGGAATACAAGCTGCATGCATTTCACGTATACAAATTGGGGAACATGGTAATTCTTCCCACCCTACCTCCCTCCCACTCTTCCTCCTCCTGCTCCTATTCCCATTCTTATTTTTCACAAAGATCTATTTCCGGTTACCTTATACTCATAATATTAACCGTACACTAAGTAGCACAACTTGCTGATTATACAACTCATCAGTCCCCTCTAGCCCACCCACTTGCTTCCTCCTGTTGGGCACCCCCCTCCGCTCCCCTCTAATCGTGTAAAGTGTGTGAGTGTGCCCAGATCAGAGCCCACTGCATGTGTGCGCCTGTTTGCATTTGATGACTTTTCCGTAGGTCCTGAACAAGTAGTTCTGTATTTGTTGAAATTCAGTTTACATAGTCCGTAACTTTCATAAAATCAAATGGGGTAAAATAATGAGGGGGTGGCATTTGGCCTAGCTGTTAAGGTGCCAATCAGGATGCCTGCCTTCTACATCAGAGTGTCTGGGTTCAACACCTGGCTTCACCTGGTTTAACACAGACTCTTGGAGACAGTGGTGAGGGCTCAAGAAATTGGATTATTTTTTAGAGATTGATTTATTTATTTGAACGTCAGAGCTACACAGAGAAGAAGAGGTAAAGAGAGAGAGAGAGAGAGAGAGAGAGGTCTTCCATCCACAGGTTCACTCCCTAATTGGCTGCAACGGCCGGAGCTGCTCCAGGAGCCAGGAGCTTCCTCCAGATCTCCCACCTGGGCCATCTTCCACTGCTTTCCCAGGCCATAGCAGAGAGCTGGACCAGAAGTGGAGCAGGCAGGACTCAAACTGTCGCCCATATGGGATGCTGGCACTGCAGGCAGCAGCTACACCCTCCATGCCACAACGCTGGCTCCAAATAATTGGATTCTTGAGCTAGACTGAGCTCCCTGCTCCCACTTCAGCCCCTGGCCATTGAGGGCATTTGGGGTAGTGAACCAGCAAACGGAATATCTTTCATTCTCATGTAAGTAAGTACATAAATAAATAAATGTTTTAAAAGTAATGAAACATGAATGAGGGAGAGGAAGATGGGATGAGGGAGAAATGTGGCTATGGTCATGTTTTCCATGCATCAACATACATTCTGTTGCCAGTTCATTACCTATGTTTCAGTGTGTAGACCCTCCTCCATGTGGATATGTTGTCTACATGCCGCCTAAAGAATGGTAGGCACTGTAAGGGGATACACAAGAAATCCCTTCTCTCCTGGGACCCTTCGTCCCAGGGGTGAGCCAGTAGTAAGTTCTTACATCCAAGTCACACGCAGTGTGGAGCTTTGTTGCTTTAATTTCCATGAGCAAAAGAGGGGACAGATTCTCCACATTGTGTAAGAGGAAACTGAGGCCTCGAGAGTTAGGGGTCCTCAGAATATCTGTGGAACTGAGGCTTGCATCCTGGTTTCCTGACTCTGAGTTTTTCTTCCGCCATTACTCACATCCAGCCCTGCTGCGGAGCTATGACAGTGCAGCAGTGTGGGGATGCCACAGTGCCTGGGCGTGATGAGGAGGCTGGACCCTGGGGAAGGAGAAATCAGTGAGGGTTGCAGAGAGCAGAGAGTGGCCGGCAAGGGGAGGGGACGGGACCGGAACCTCCAGGAGTCCTCAGCACTCGGTGAGTGGGCTATAATGGAGCTTCCTTCAGCCCCTGAGTGTCCTTCTGTTAGGTAAAGGGCCACAAAAAGGAACCAGAGTCTGAGTTTTCAAGAGCTTGTGGTTGGCTGGCGCCACGGCTCACTAGGCTAATCCTCCGCCTAGCGGCGCCGGCACACCGGGTTCTAGTCCCGGTCGGGGCGCTGGATTCTGTCCCGGTTGCCCCTCTTCCAGGCCAGCTCTCTGCTGTGGCCAGGGAGTGCAGTGGAGGATGGCCCAGGTGCTTGGGCCCTGCACCCCATGGGAGACCAGGAAAAGCACCTGGCTCCTGGCTCCTGCCATCGGATCAGCGCGGTGCGCCGGCCGCGGCGGCCATTGGAGAGTGAACCAACGGCAAAAGGAAGACCTTTCTCTCTGTCTCTCTCTCTCTCTCTCACTGTCCACTCTGCCTGTCAAAAACAAAACAAAACAAAAAAAAAAAAAAAACAAAAAAAAAAAAGAGCTTGTGGTTGAAGGCATGACCATAAGGTGAATTTTTTCTGTCCCTATGTATGCAAATAAGAATGTATACAGGTCGGCGCCGTGGCTCACTTGGCTAATCCTCCGCCTGCTGCACTGGCACACCGGGTTCTAGTCCTGGTTGGGGTGCCGGATTCTGTCCCGGTTGCTCCTCTTCCAGGCCAGCTCTCTGCTGTGGCCCGGGAAGGCAGTGGAGGATGGCCCAAGTGCTCTGGTCCCTGCACCTGCATGGGAGACCGGGAGGAAGTAACCGGCTCCTGGCTTCGGATCAGCGCATCGCTGGCTGTGGCTGCCATTAGGGGAGTGAACCAACGGAAGGAAGACCTTTTTCTCTGTCTCTGTCTATAACTCTCTCTCTGTCTCTCTCTCTCTCACTGTCTAACTCTGCCTGGCAAAAAATAAAAAAAATATATATACATATATATCTGTGTCCTTTTTCTGTATCCAACTAGGCATGCACTTCAGCAAAGACTTATTGCTTTGCTAAAGCAATGTAGGAGGATACCGGTAAATAAAGAACATCACTTCACTGTGCCCAGAGAATCCAGGGTGTGTGCCTACTGCAGGGATACCCTGAGTTGTGAGGAGACAAGACATGAAAATGTCCTACTGAGTTCTCTGCACAGATTGAATTTCCAGCCATATCATTTGTCCTGTGCAGTTATTCTGCCCATTTTACAGACACAGAAACTGAGGCTTAAGAAGTAAATTGCCCACACATAGTGCTGTGGCTAAGGGTTAGGAGCGACTGCTAGCTGCCTGTGAGTTTAAATCCTTGCTCCAACACACACCAGCTCTGTTACTTGAAGCATGCTAATTAACGTGCCTAATCCTTGGTTTGCTTTTCTGTACAATGGGATGCTAACAGTACCCACCTGGGAGGGCTAATAGGAAGATATGATGAGCTAAAATGTGAAAAGCACTAATAAGTATCTAGGAACAGCTTGGTAATTATTACTATCATTATTGTAATGCCTATGCTTATGAAAAGGAGACTCAGGTGGCACCCCTAAGATCTCTCTTTCCTCCCATATATCCCACCTTGTCCCCATACAAAATGGGAAGTGGACAGTTATGAACCAGGGAGTCAATGTGACAACAGACAAGCTATGTGGTTTAAATATTCATAAGCCAAGGTCCATGTAGGTCTCATGAGACAAGGAGAAGGGGCTCATGGCCGGTGTCATGGGCCTTTCCCCCTGAGATGGGCAGGGGAGCTGTGCTGTGGTCATTAACACCTGGTGAAACCTCTGGCACATTGAGCACTCTGCTAGTCTCTGGGGATAAAGTGCTCATGACGATGCCCCCTTGAGCTCTGGCCAGCTTCCACCAGGATGAGCTGGACATCTGCTCCACAAGGGCCAGGTGACCCTAGTGCTCCCTTGTAGTCACAGCTCCCAGTGGTTCTGTGAATAGTCACCCCTTGCCCCGCTTCTATCCAGAGAAGAGCCAGCCTCTTCCCAAGGCAGGTGGGGAGATTTGGAAACTCCCACTCCTTCATTTGGAATGTTGGCTCTGTGAGGGACCAGAGTGGGGACCATCTCCAGCCAGGGCCTGGAGGACAAACTTCCTGACCCCAGGCACTCATGAGTGCCCCTGCAAGAGTGCCCCCCCTTTCCTAAACAACAGACTCCTTTATCTACAGAGCTCTACAACCCCTCCAACCAAACTCTGAAACCAAATTGCTGACTGCATCCAAGACAGCTGCGGAGCTTACTGACCGTAATGGAACATGATTTGTGTGCAGTCACGGTATTGAACATCAGAAGAGATTCACAGCAACAGGCTGATGCCTCTCATCAAGGAGCCCATGGAAGAGCAAGAGTGATGTATCCATGCTCAGCACAAGGAAACAGGTCTGTAACACAGCTGGATGTACAGGGACTAAGAGTGGACTGAGAGTAGAAATGTCTCACAGGTCCCCATCCCGTGCAGTGGCTGGCATTGAGGCATTCTGTCACCCCCTCTAGATATTACCAACTTTATTCCTCAAGGTAGACCTTATTATGTGCCACTAACAGTGCCAATAATTCACATGCACTGTATCAGTTAATGACATAGGTTAATTATCTAACCCATCAGGACAGCACCGTTGGCACATAATTCGTGTTGAAGGGGGCTGTCTCATGAATTACAGTCTGTGTAGCCATAACCCACTAGATGCCAGCAGCACCTTCCTGTCCCCTGTTGTGCTAATAAAAAATGTCTCCAAACATTGCTAAATGTTCACTTGGGGGTGCAGTCACCCCGACTGAAAACCACTAAGTGCATCTCCATACACTTCAGAGGCATGAGCACAGTAACCACCTCCACTGCCTCGTATTTATTTTCTAAACGGAGGCAGAGTGAGGTCCAGGGTCACACAGCCAATAAAAATGGGGCAGGGACATTCTGTTTCCCCAGCTCACTAGCTTTTTGTCCTCAGAGCAGTGCCTGTCTCTGCAGGCGTAGTGCCTGTGACTCAGTAACCCTCAAGCCTGTACCAAGAAAGACGGTTACTGATGGCAACCCTTCCATTTATAGTGCACTTGAAGAGAACAATGACCCTTCCGTGGAGATCTTACTCCCATTTTATAAATGAGCACACTGATACCAGACTGATAAGAGGGGATGGCAGACAAGACATCAGACACTGGACTATTGGACCCACATCTTGTAATTTTATGCTCCCCAATACTCAGAGAATTGGATAACACTGATTAAGCTATGGAAGGCAGGCACGTTATTAACACAAATTCGGCATGATGGACACATTTAGGGAATGACTTCTTTTGTGATGGTATAAAAATAGTTCAAGGGAGAGCATAAGAAACTGCAAACCTGACTGTGTGAGAGACAAAAGAGGTGCATGGAAAGTGGTGGGTGCGTTTAATTAACTTGCTGAGAAAACAATCTATGGCTGTCACCTGAAAACATTCCCAGGCTTCTGCCTAAAGTCACAATGCAGATAGGCTCAACAGGAAGGACTTTACAACCTGATAGAACTTGAGATCATTGATGGCAACAATGCCAATATGCAAACGCCTTAGTGAGCAGTGCAATTTGCATGAGTGGTCACACACATCTTGTGGGTTGGGTGGCCCACGTGACCATAAACACTGAAATTTCTACTCAGTTCTTTCTACACACTGAATTCCCAGAAAGGAGAGGAAATCATCCTGTGTTAGCATCTAATTCAATCCTGCCCATTTTACAGACAAGTAGACTCGGGCTTTAAAGAAGTGAGGTAAATCATCCACTGTCCCACTGTTGGTGTGCGAATGAACTTCAGGTAGGAGGCCAGGTTCATTATATATTTCCATTACATAAACGGAACTCTGTTCAGCAGTAATAAGGAGTGATCTAGCAATGTACTTGATCACATGGATGACTCTCACAATAGCTATGTTGAGCAAAAAAAATCAGATGAAAGAGAGTACATGTGGAATGATTCCATTACACAGAATCCTAGAAAATGTAGTGACAGAAACCAGACCAGTGGTTTTCTGGGGATGAAGTTTCCTACAATGGGGGGAGGCATGAGGAAATTTTGGAGTGTGTATATTTTATCTTGAATGTGGCTATATTTTCATGAATGCTCAAACTTATCTAACTGTATAATTTTAAAAGGTGCTATTGTTTGTCAATTATCCCTCAAAAAAGTGTTTAAGAAACTTAGCAAGAAATATATTAAATACAAATAAGGTACCTAAAACAGTGACAACACATGGCAAAAACCAGCAATACTAAGAACCAAGTATTTTGATGTATTTACTTTCATGTATCAGTATATACTCATTTTCCATAAAATTAAATAAGGTACCTATAATTTAAATATTTTATATTATTAGAACTATAAAAGAACTATTCTTTTTAAAAAAGATTTATTTATTCAAGACAGAGTTGCAGATAGAGAGAGGGAGAGACAGAGAGAAGGTCTTCCGTCTTCTAGTTCACTCCCCAGATGGTCACAGTGGCCAGAGCTAGGCTAATCCCAAGCTAGGAGCCAGGAGCTTCTTCCAGGTCTTCCACATGGGTGCAGGGGCCCAAGCACTTCGGCCATTTTCTACTGCTTTCCCAGGTCATTAGCAGGGAGCTGGATCAGAAGTGGAGCAGCCAGGACTTGAACCGGTGCCCATATGGGATGCTGGCACCATAGGTGGAAGCTTAACCTACTGTGCCACAGGGCCGGCCCCTAAATTTTTTTTTTAAGATCTATTTTATTTACTTGAAAGAATTACACAGAGAGAAGGGGGAGGGGGAAGAGAGGGGGAAAGTAGAAGAGAAGGAGAGGTCTTTCATCCACTGGTTCACTCCCCAAATGGAGGGGAAGGGGTAAGGGGAGGGAGAATTTATGAAATACATGGAACTTGTATAACTCAAATAAAATGGAAAAATAAAGAGGCCAGGGTTATGGAATTTACTGCTGTCCAAGGTTCTGGGAAGGCCTGGCGAGCTGTGGTTGAGGGTTTAGGAGTTGGTTTTAGATGATTGTAAGTTAATTCCTGAATCTACTAGCTCTGTCACTTGAAGCTGGTTTGTTAATTTGCCTAAACCTGGATTTGTTCATCTGTAAAGTGGGGGTGGTTACAGTACTCTCCTCAAGGACTGAGGTTGTAATGA